CACCCAGTTTCATTTTTGTTGAATAATTACATTTTTGCCATTAATAAAACCGGGTCAAACGAACCGGGTTGCGCGTCCCCCCAATCGGATCAAATCCCTAAAATGTCTTAAATTGATCAGATAATTACTGAAATTGCCACTAAAAAATTCCAAAATTACCCATTTCAATTGAATTTCTATAGTTTAAAACCAATGGCAATTTCAGTAATATTAGATAGGATTTTGGACATTTACTCTAAGTGACTTCTCTTTTAATAGTATATAGAGATTGTTAATAATATAAATTGTTGAAAGTTTAGTTCTACCATTTAATTATCTTTATTCGTAAACGTAATCCAATTCACAATCTGTTAGAAAAAATTAAGATTCTTCTCATAAAAAGCCGGCCAGAAATATCGCCGTCGCTCCCGTTAGCTCTCTCTCTCCTTGATTGACTTATCTCTCTCTCTCTTAAACACGAATTCGTTATCCGAAACAAAATTTAGGGTTTATACGTGATTGGAACAATTTGCAAACTTCAATTTCAGGAAAGATAAAAGAGAAATCTTTTGAAATCTCTTAGATTTTGAATCTGTTTCTTATATACAACACAAAAACACCCAAAATAAGATTTTCTTGACCAGATTCTTCAAGGTTCTGTGTTTTTCTTTCTTTCGATCGAACCAAAAAAAGAAAAGAAAAAAGGAAGCACCTTTTAATTTCTTCTAAATTGAAACTTTTCGAATGATCAAATGAGCTCCATGTTGTGGAAATGTAGTTGCAGCTGGGAAAGGAGCATGAGTATACGAAGGAGATAGCTCTACACTGAACCTTTGAAGTACCATTGCCACAAAGAGCTTAGCTTGCAACATTGAAAAGTTCTGACCAATACAAGTCCGAGGTCCCGAGCTAAACGGTAAGAATGATAGTCTTCCTTTGGTTGCGCTCGCTACGCCGTTAACGAATCTCTCGGGCTTAAACTGTTTCACATCGTCTCCCCAAAGATCAGGGTCATGGTGCACCAAGAGCATTGGTATTGTGATTACTACTCCTTCTGGTAACGAGAATCTCTCTAGCTTCACTTCTTGTTTCGTTATCCGACATGTGAAGTAAGCCGGCGAATAGAGTCTTAGAACTTCGTGGAGGATCATTGTTACCTAAAGAAAATAAAAAAAAGTTATGAATAACCCA